GACAGAGCAAGACTCTATCTCAAAAAAAATAAAAATAAAAATAAAAATAGAAAAGTAGCCAGGCGTGGTGGTACAGGCCTGTAATCCCAGCTATTCGGGAGGCTGAGGCAGGAGAATCACTTGAACCCAGGAGGAGGAGGTTGTGGTGAACCAAGATTGCGCCATTGCACTCCAGCCGGGGCAACGAGAGCAACATTCTGTCTCACGGCTAAGGCATGTTCCTCTCCATCTCTTAGGAGAGGTTACGTCACCACATCTTTACAACAGCCACCAAATGATGTGACCATATATGGTTTTTGATGCATAAAAGAGACGGATTTTACACAACTGAAATTCACTTCTGGGGAGGCAAGGCAGGCAGACCACTTGAACTCAGGAGTTCAAAACCAGCCTGGGCAACATGGTAAACTCCCATCTCTACAAAAATACAAAAAATTAGCTAGACGTGGTGGCACATGCCTGTAGTCCCAGCTACTCAGGAGGCTAAGGTGGGAGGACTGCTTGAACTGGGAAGTGGAAGTTGCAGTGAACTGAAATCATACTACTGCACTTCAGCCTGGCAAACAGAGCAAGACTGCCTCGGGAAAAAAAAAAAAAAATCCACTTGGGGAGATGAATGCTCTCCTCTCCCCAAGTCATGGGACAGCTATGCTGTGCCTGCAAGGGCTGCTGGGAAGGTAAGAAGGGAGAAGTGCAGTGCTCTAACAGGCAGGTGCCAGGGCTCCCCCACCCCCTGCCCGTGCTTGTGGCTGTCCCACGCTGGGCCGTCCTCCAGCCAGCTGCTGCGCACCTTTGGCATGGAACGTCCAGCCCCTCCGCCAGTACTCCTGTAGCTGGACCCGCTCCTGCTGTCCCAGGCTGCACACCTCGCTGTAGAACTGCCGCTCGATGTGCACATAGGCCGCTGGGATGGCGCCAGCCACTCCCTTGGCCCCAAAGAAGCCATTCACCTCTGGTGAGGCCAGCAGGATTTGGTACTCAGCCCGAGTGCCCAAGACCAGGTCCATGTAGGCCTGGGTCAGGTTGAAGTAGCCAGTGGTGAGGTAGACCTTTGCACCACGCTCCGCCTCAGTCAACAGGGTCTCAGTGACAATCTCATCGATTTGAATCTCGAAGGGCTTCATCTGAATCAGCGGATAAATCCAGGTGTCAGGGGCTGGTCTGCGATCCCCAGCAGCTGCTGCATCTTCCTGGGTCAAAAGGGAGTTGCTGTGGAAGGTCTGGGCATGCAGCATCTGCTGGCGGGTCCTGGCTGAGTTGATCACATCCATGACCCTCTTATTGGCTGCCTTGCAGTACTCGGCCCGGTCACCTAGAGGAAGACGTGAGAGAGGAGTGAAGGGAAGAGAAAGAAAGGATCTAGATTCTGCCCAGCTCAGGGGACGGGGCATGTGACAGGCAGGTGCAGATGCTACAACTGGATGTTCACTGAACACACGCTGAGTGGGCCCAGGACTCCAAGCCCACAGCGAGGCTCCTCTGGGGATATAGTTTGCCCAAGACAAGGGCCTGGCCCACAGCAGCCCACACTCAGGCAGAAGTGAAAGGCATGTCAACCTATCAGTCCAATTACAAACAAGTTTAAACCCAGGCAAGACAAACTGACAGGGGCAGAAATCAGGATAGTGGTTACCTTGGGGGTAATTCCTTGCAGGGGCACATACAGGGGGCCTCCAGGAAGCGGATCCACTAGGAACAGGTTCATGGCTGTATACTTACGACTGGCGCTCGGGGTGCATGTTCTACTTCAATAAGGAAGCTCAGTCAAATAAAGACATACAAGTATAACCAAAAAAGGAGCATGCGTATTCCACGGATGGGGTCACAAGGAAAGCCTTGGATAAACACCATCAGCTTGGATAAGCACATCACCAGGTGGGAAAGCTTCCCACAGCAGTGACAGCTCCTGGGAGAGAGGAAGAATGGGCAGGCTCAGGCTCTGCATGGGGTGCCCTTTGTATTCGGACAAGACACTGGTGACAGGTAACCATGCTGACACACTGAAGGGAAAGATGCTACTATCAGACAAGACAAAGCTGAGAATTAATCAGTTAAGCACCCAACTCAAGAAGACAGGGGAAAGAAACAACAGAATATAACCATCAATACAGTATAGGGAAGCAAAAATAAAGAACAGGCCAGGCACAGTGGCTCACGCCTGTAAACCCAGCACAGCACTTTGGGAGGCCGGGGCAGGCAGATCACCTGAGGCCAGGAGTTTGAGACCAGCCTGGCCAACACGGTGAAACCCTGTCTCTACCAAGAGTACAAACATGGCCGGGCGCGGTGGCTCAAGCCTGTAATCCCAGCACTTTGGGAGGCCGAGAC